TTCCTTGGAAGACTAAACTATATATCTCGATTCATTTCCCAACTGAGTAATAAATGTGATCCAGTGTTTATATTGCTCAGGAAAAATAACCTAGAGGTTTGGAATGATGAATTCAAAGTGACTTTAGATATTATAAAGAAATACATGTCCAATGCTCCAATCCTAGTAGCACCATGCATGACAGGCTGTTAATTCTTTACCTAACAATTTTTGAGAATTCAATGGGTTGTGTATGTTGGGGCAACATATCGAGTCAGGAAGAAAGGAGAGAGTCATTTATTACCTAAGTAATAAATTAACCGATTGCGAGACTCGATACCTATCGATTCAAAATTTGTGTTGTGCTTTAGTTTGGGCTACCCGAAGGCTCAGGCAGTACATGTTATATCATACCACGTGCTTAATATCGATGATGTATCCACTAAAATACTGATGGAATCTTGCACCCTAACTGGAAGACTGGCTAAGTGGTAGATGTTATTATCTGAGTTTGATATTGTGTATGAGAGCCAAAAGGTAATAAAATTCACCGATTACGAGTAGTGCCTCGAAATATTACGAGTCTCTAAACTTCAATTTCCCAAACGAGGATTTGATGTGCATCTCAACTGAAGAAGAAAGTGCCATGGACAAAAAATCATGGAAATTATACTTAGATAGAGCCTCTAACGCTTTGGGGAAAAGAATTGGGGCATTGCTTATTTCCCCAAAAGCAATCTACTATCCTTTCACAAGTAGATTGGAATTCTTTTGCACTAACAACTAGCAGAATACGAAGCATGTGCTATGGGGTTAAAAATACACATTGAGAGAAAAGTCAAAACACTTAAAGTATATAGAGGGACAAATGACCCAAAATTAGTAGTGTATATGGAAATTTGGTCCTCGAACTATTGAAAGATTTTGAAGATGTTACATTCAACTATCTTCCCTCAGAGGACGATCAAATTGTCAATGCTCTAGCTACGTTGGCTGCGATGTTTAAGACAAATAGGAAAGCAAACATGATGCCAATTATGATGCAAGTGTATGAAACCCCGACACATTGCTATCTCCTAGAAGAAGAAGCGGATGACCATCCATGGTACTATGATATCTTGCAGTATATGAGATACCAAAGATATCCTCCACGTGCATCTAAAATTGACAAGAAAACAATTAGAAGAATGGCAGTCGGATACTTTCTCGATGGAGAGATCTTATATAGAATGGGTAGTGATCAAGTTTTGTTAAGGTGCTTGACCACCAAAGAAACAAAGAGCATTATGGAAGGGCTGCGTGGTGGAACATGTGAAACAAATGCAAATGATTTATCTATGCCAGGAAAATCATGAGATATGGGTACTATTGAGCCATGATGCATACATATTGTGTCGATTATGTAAGAAGATGCCACAAATGCCAGATATATACGGATAAAATTAAGGCGATGCCTTCGCTTCTACATTTTATGATCTCACCTTGGTCGTTTTATATGTGGGGTATGGACGTCATTGGGGTAATCACACCAAAGGCTTTAAATAGACATCGCTTCATTTTAGTGGCAATTTATTAGTTCACTAAGTTGGTAGAGGCTGCTTCCTATTCCAGTATCACGAGATCAACAGTTTCCAAGTTCATAAAGAGAGAGATAATATGTTGATATGGGTTTCCAGAAAGGATCATCACAGATAATGCTATTAATTTGAATAACAAGATTATGGATGCACTCCACGTGTAGTATAAGATAAAACATGCCAACTCTGTAACCTACTGCTCAAAAATAAATGGGGCAGTGGAACATGCGAACAAAAACATCAAAAGGATCATTCCGAAGACTACTGGAACCTACAGAGATTGGCATGAAAAATTACCCTTTGCCTTATATGGATATCATACGACTATGCGAACATCGATAGAGGTGACCCCTGTTTCTTTGGTCTATAGAGCAGAGGCAAACATACCCATTGAGGTTGAAATTTCATCACTTCTAGTATTGAAATAAGTAGAATTAGATGAAGCAAAATTGGTTCAATCTCGGGTTGATTAACTAAATCTTATTGAAGAAAAGAGACTGAAAGATATATGTCATGGACATATGTACTAGAAAATGATGATGCGAGTCCACGATAAGAAAGTTCACCCAAGAGAATTTCAAGAGGGTGATCTAGTTCTTAAAAAGATCTTGCCTATTCATAAATATTTTTGTGGGAAATGGGTGCCTAATTGGGAAGGATCATACGTTGTCAAAAAGGCATTTTTCAGAGGAGCATTGATTTTGGCAGAGATGGACGGAGAAGTGTTAAGGAACCTAATAAATTTAGTCTCTGTCAAGAAATATTATGCTTAGAAAAAAACAAAAAAGAAAAAACTAAAAAAAGAGAAATTAATAAAAAAATTAGAGAGGAAAAAAAGAAAAAAAAAAAAAAGAAGGAAAAAGTGAAAATGAAAATGAAAATGAGGGTTCAAGATAAAAATCCACAAAGGGCGTATTGAAACCAAATGAATGATTTGAGTTGAAAACTTGAAAATGCGGCTCAAATACATTTTGATATTGAGGCATCTAGCAAATAAACCCTCTCGAAAGTTTGGTAGTTCGTGAGAGACTTCACATATGCAGATAGCTTCACGACTTTGAGATCTCCCAGACAGAGGATCACCTCGAGGTGTCAAATTAACTGATTCAGGATCACTTATGCTAGAATTTAGTGAGACATATGCCTTTTGTTTCTAGAGTCTCTAATCAATTATTTCGATTGTCATGACTTTGTGTAACCTATATTTTATCAATAAATTTCATGATTATCACTTCAAGCTTCAGATAATTCATTTCTTCATGTCTCAGATAGACTAACATAACCCAATTTTCAAACGAGTAATTTCTTTCTATTAGTTTGAATTAACCTATAAAGTGTAGGGAATCCAAGGAATTCCACCATGTCAATATTCACTCTCATTGAAGCAAGTGGTTGACAGAAGGTAACACGAGAGATGTCAATAACATGAATGAAAAAATGAATAATGAAATGACTATAACATAGTTTGTTCTGACAGAAGGTGACACGAGAGATTTCAATAACCCGAATGACAAAATAAATAATGAAATGACTATAACACAGTTCGTTCCAAGGCATATCTCCGGGCGCTCCTGGGCAGAAACACACATAGAATGCTAAGAGATCAATCTTGATTTTAGAAGTGAAGAAAGCCAAGATCATGAACCAAGCAAGGGCACAGCAAAGACAATGACTCGACAAAGATAGAAAAACAAAGATTTATAAGACCATAGAGCTCAAAACATGAAAATCACATCATGCATGCATATTTAGGCATTTGAAAAAGTAGGAGCATACACATGTATTTGAATATCTGACAAGAATTTAAAGAGTCAACAAAGGTTTCATTTCATAATTTTTTGAAAAATATGAGAGATTGAAGGGGTTGAGAAAGTTTGAAGATTTTTTTAGGTTTAAGGTTATAAATGATTTCAAACAAAAAAGGTGTTTTTTATAATAGGAGTTTAGGGGTTAATTTTGCTTAGGTCCTCGTACTTTTGTCGTGTTTTTACACTATGGTCCTTGATTTTTTTTTTTATTTTAGATCCCAAGTTTTTGTGTTGGTTGTGTGATTTCCCTTTTATTTTATTAATGTTGGCTGATATAAATAGTTGGTAGAAGTACATTTAAATCCCTCAACTTCATCCGTGTTTTTTTATTTTTAGTCCCCGTGGTTGTGTTATTGTTGTTTTAAATTTTGAATTTATTTGTCACGACCATGTTATTTTCCCTTTTATGTTTACTTGTTAATTTTAGGGTTAATTAGCTTTTGGCCATCGAATATTATTCGATTATTTTCTTTTAAGTCCTTAAACTATGTTGTGTTTGTATGTTAGTCACTATTCACTTGGGTTTTTTTTTCATTTATTTGTATTTGATGTATTATTTTTAATTTTATTTTTCTCTCTTGTTTCTTTAATATACACATATATTTCGTAGTTTTTTTTAATAATATTTTAATATATGGTTGTAAACATTTAATATTAAATATATGATCTAATATTATATTTAGATAGAATAAATATATTTGGGATGTTTGGTGGGTATTTCTTATTTACTTTGTATTAAATATGTAATATATATATATATATTAAAAAATTCTTATGAATGTTTATTATTAAAAAATATTTTTAGTATTTTAGTAAGTACTAAAAAATAATAGTTACCATTAATATTATAAAATTCACCGTTAATTATTTGACTAACCTATGAAAAACCTCCAAATATCTAGAGTGCCCTTCCTATGGTTATTCGAATAAAATTAATATTTTATTGTTATTCAATATTTGTTTGTATTTTATGTTTTTAGATACATAATTTTTTTATTTTAGAAAATATCTTTTATATGTATTTATTTTTATATAATAAAATTATTTTAAATAAATATTTATTGTATATTTTATTATTCATTCATTTGTTACATATGTGAATATTTCATTCATTTTATACTTGTCATTTATCACCGTTCACTACAGCAAAATGAGTTTATAGATGTATTTTTAGAAGCGTTTTTTGAATAAATGTCGCAAAAGACTCTTACTTTAGTGGCGTTTGTATACAAACGCCATTAAAGACTCAGACTTTCGTGGTGTTTATATAAAAATGCCGCTAATAACTGGTACTGTAGTGACTTTTTTATACAAACACCGTATAAACTTATACTTTAATAACGTTTTGATACAAAAATCGCTATAAACTCATACTTTAACAGTGTTTTACACAACACCGCTATAAATTTGTACTTTATAAAACGTTTGTCTATACAAACGCAACAATTTTACAGTTTCTAAGTCTCTCTTTAACTTTTTTTGCCCCCTTCTAACCTTTTTCATTTCCCCCCTTAACCCTGAACCATCTGCAATTGACAAGCACTCTCCTTTTCCCTCTGCCATTAAACAAAAATAATAAGTAAAAGAACCGTAACCCTAGAAAACCAAAAGGAGAAGGGTTTATATTCCGCGTCAGAGTTGGATTTCAATGCCGGTTGATGCTGAGTTTTGGTGAAGTTGAAGAGGATCAAAGAGAGGGTTCTTCCGATAAATGCTCTCTCTATATCTCCCTTTAAATTTGCTTCCTTTTTCATGTCTTCTCCCTCTTTATTCTCTCCCCCTTCACTCCCTTTTATGTCTGGATTTTTGTTAAATGTACGTAATATAACTTTCCCCTGAATCATGTGATGGGTTTACTTTTTGTTTCCTTGTTATGCATATTTTATTATAGTTCTTGTAGCCTTATCATTCAAAACCTGGGAAGAAGATAAGCATCGAGCCTTTGAAGGTTGAACTAGCTTGTTTATACTATTTGCAGCTTCCTCTAGAGAAGAGTTCAACAGATAGGGTTTAATTGTCAAAATTTACTTGTTTCTTATTTTAAAAATTTTGGGTGGGTGAGCACAGTAGTTTGCTAGAAAGTATTAGTTCTCTACATTAGAGTTCTTGAGATTGCTACCTACCATTACTTTTTCCCTTCACTCATCATTGGTCATAATAACTGCATTGCTCCTCTTATTCAATTGTGTTTTGTTCTTTCCATATCGCTAACTGTTTATTTAATTGTCTTATTAGGTTTGTTGCCTATCATTCAAAACCTGGAATGTGGCGGAAGACCTATAGAATCCTTTGTAAATTTTGACTCTCTTCGGAATCATTTGAGAAAGCTTCCAGTTGATATGCTGACTAGTGGTTTGTATATCAATTGGTTTTTGTTATCTGAAGCAATGACCTCATCTCATATTTTCTTATAGTTCCTGCAGCATTATTTACTGTTGTATGAATTATGGTGCTTCTGTGTTTAAACTAATTATTTCAGTTTTGAAGTGTGTTTCGTTCATATTCGTGTCACATTGATAATACTATCTCCTGTAGAGTAGTTTCAATCAAGTTATCTCAACATGATTCCACCTTTTTAGCATGGCAAAGTACCCTTTAGATGTTTAGTCCTGTATTGTTAATCTCTATCAAATGGTGAATATTGTGCATGCTTCTTTAAGATGTTTCTGAATAAAGGTCATTCAAATTTCAAACCACTTTCACCTAGCTGAGTTATGATCTTAAAGTTCTACAGTCCACACATGTTAAGTTGCTTAGAAAATTGTATGTTTCTGAGGTAAGAATGAAGGTTAAACAGTAGTTTGTTGCTGATGGCCTGATGCTATATTCCGTATTGTTACATATTCAACAAACTGCTGCAGGGTAGCCTGTTACATTACCACTGGGAAGCCTAAATGGTTTTATTCTATTTTCTACTCTCTGTTTATAAGATAGAGGATGAAGTCAACGTATCTGATTGTGGACTGCTAGATATATCAGTAATTCCATTGTTGAATGCCTTGCATACACACACGGGTTTCAATGCTAGATCTTTCTCACAACGCGTTGCTGATAATATCCTATTTCTGTTCCATCTTCCAAATAGTTCTGAAGTTTTGTTCACATGACAAGTTGTTACTCAATATCATGTGAAGTCCTAGCTTTTCTTAAAAATGAATAAACATGCATTTCTTTTGAACTTAGTGTTCCATTTGATGGTTTTATTCCAGGAAATGGAACAATGGAGAAACTCCTACAGTTTTTTTCATCATCGAACTAAGCATATGGTGATCTGACTTTAGACTTGCATTGCAATAGATTTGGTCCAACTGCTTTATTCCAGGTATGTAGCCTATGTTATAAGCATCTTTTTTCAGCGATTGGGAGCTTCATGTTTTCTTTTCACTCTCTTTTGAAAAGAAACATCATTTCATTAATATTGTTTCTCTATTTGTATTGGGATGATGTCATAAATGACTTGAAGTTTATCAAATATTTTACAATGCAGTTGTCTGGTTCAATAAAATTTCAATGCTCTAATTGTATTATCAGATTGTGCATTAATGTGGAACTTAGACTTAATGTTAACTAGAGATGAAGTAACAATTGCCAATAATATATTAACGTGTGGCATTAATTTTTAGAATATCAATTCCAGTTTTTCCAAGACCATTAATATCTAAAAACATTTTAAGAAGAGAAAAATGATCTCAAAATTTTACAAAAAATGCTTTTTTTTTAATTCACAGATTAAATATGTGATAAACATCGAAGTTTTTAAAGAATATAAAAAGGAATTATTTATTAGAATCTTTTCTTTCTTTCCTCTCACCTGCTGATCTCTCCATATTATCTATTTGAGGTCGAATTTGGCATTGGTATGGCAAATTCAGCCTGAAAATGTTGAGATGAGAGAGAGATCGGGAAGAAGGGGGGGGGCGAAGAAAGGAAAAACTAGAAAAGAAAAGCAAAATTAAATTTTAACAGTTCTAGTTATGGGTCCTAAGTTAACAATCAAAATTAAAGTACAAGTATCAAAATAGACTTAAAAGTAATATGGAACATTTAATGAACTCCTTTACCATTTGTGACGTTATCCTGTATATTTGAACACGCTATTTTAATTTTCTTTTTACCAACGTTGGTGCATAGTAGTTAATAAGTTTTTTTTGCACTTAAATATTGCAAGAATGGTGATTTTTTTTTCACAGAAATATTTCTGATTCTCTCTTATAGCAGTTAGAGTAGCCCACCCCTCTGTTTGGCATCCTAACATGTTTACGTTTCACTCATAATTAGATTTATCACAACACATTTACTTTTGAGCCAAGACAAAGAATTAGTTTTTGTCATAATTTATTTGATATATTGGTTGAGTTTTAGTTTGTTGTGATATGTTCTCAATTGTGAAATTAAATGTAATGCTTAAGCTTAGTTGCTTATTTCTCTATAATATTAACAATTAACATTTGAAATTGATAATCCAGAAATACGAAATGGATAAGAGTTGGATGGATTTGTCAATGATAAGCGACAAATATCGAAATGGAGTCGAAACTAAAGCAAGGGAAGCAAAATATCCGAAAAATGTGAAGACTTTCAAAATTAACTTCAAGCTATGATACAGATGATACGAAAAAATCAACTCCATAGTTTATCATCCTAGGTGTTATTATTGTTTATTCTAGTTAACAATTGAACTACATTATATTTTACGTTGTAAACACCATTTTTCAACACCAACACCCACCCTCCCATTTTTCAACACTAACCCCATCATCCCTTGTTCCGAGAATCAAGGCATAACCAACTGCTCATGCAACTTGTTATATTTTAAATGTAAAATCATTGTAAATTTGAATATAAAAAGCCGAACGCATGTAATCAAAAGGGGAGATTTCTCTCAGAAATTTTAGAGAAATAAACAAGCAGATTAAAGGGTAAATTTTTTTTTAAATTTTCGTATTCAAATACTGTTTTTTTACTCTATGCTATTACGAGAAAATACTAAAATAAATTAGGAGGGAAGAGATTACCTGTAGTTTGTGGTGCTCTTCGGTAAATAGGGTCGTAGAGGAGATGATAGGAGTCGAGTTAGTTGAGTTTGGGCATCGGCGTTGCCGTATGGTGGTGGTTTTTAAGTTTCGAACCTTTCGGCCAAATGATGGATGAAGGGGCTCGGTTGGGTTCGTCGGGGTTTGTTAGATGGATTTCGACGAGGCGATGGTGGTAGTTGAGAGAATGGCCACCCATGTAGGGTAGCCGAGGCAATGATGCTTCGGTTTCAATGGATGCCATGGGAGGTGAAGCGAAGAAGAGAGAGCTGGTTGAAGTTTAATTATTTTCGGGCAGAACACAGTTTGGGGGAAGGAAATAACTTTTGTTTTGATTTTGGGTAAAAACGTGTCAGGTCATCCATTTTAATATGTTTTACGTTATAGTTAGAGTGTTAGGGTAAATCGCATACCAGGTCCTCATAGTTTCAGCGTGTTTACGCTTTGGTCACTATTAGGGTAAAATCACCTTTAGATCCCTGTATCTTTCCCTTGTTTTTACATTTTGGTCACTAGATCCTTTGATTTTAATTTATTGCGATTTTATTACTATGTATTGTTTTATTTTAATTTAGACACTATTTGTTTCTTATTTAACTACTAACTTTTATTTTCTTGCATTTTAGTTATGGTTTTTATATTTATACAATTAGGTTTTTTTATTTTGTGTTTATTTTTTAGAAATTAGGACAACACTTTAGTATAATTAAGGAGCAATCTAAATCGAATTTTCGTATTATATGCCGAATACTCGAATCAATTGTTCAATTAAAAATTAATTAATAATTAAAATATTCTAAAAAATTTTAGTATAACAATTTAGGCAATAATTAGATTTTAATTAGCCCATTAACTTTAAAATTACTAATTTAGGTCCCAAATTTTTAAAATTTTTAGAACTCGGTATTTTAGTTCCCGAACTTCAATTAGAATTTAAATATTGGCATAATTAAATAAGTTAAATAGAGCTTCCATTTTAGCTTAGAATTCAAACTAGTCTTTTAATTTAGGGGATAATTCGAGTTGGCCCTCGCGTAAACGCTCGAGGGACCATCTCAGTTATTCGATTCAATAATTAATTAAAATCAAACATGATTAATATTAGAGCCTACGTTCTTAGGCTTGAGTCCCTAGGTTCTTTAATTTTCATAATTTGTCTTCGTAAGTTAGAAAAAGCCTTAATTTATTTTTAGTATAATTAGGATAAATAAAATTTTTCTATATCACATTATGTTTATAAATCTAAGGGACTGTTCACTTATTAAGGAATTAATAGTATATCCCCCGCGATCACGCTCAGGGGTGACTACTGGTAATTCCTTAAATAAGTCGACATCCTTTTCAAAACTACATCATGTTTTCTAAAACGATGCAATGTTCAATTATTAGACACAATAGTTGATCTCCCGCCATGGTTTTCAGAACCGGACCGGTTAGCGAACCGGCCATGCTACCAGTTTACTGGTTCAACCGATCGAACCGATCCGACCGGTCGGAAGAACCGGACGACATCATAATTATTTAAAAAATTAAATAAAAATACCAAAAATATTTAATAAAAAATAATTTTTTATATAACAATTCATATTCAAAGCAAGTCATAACATATATAAGTTAAAAACCATAAAATCAAGTGAAACAAAATGATTCAAATTAACTACAACATAATATTTAAGGTAAAACATATTAAATAATAAATATAATTATATAACTATAATTAAAAAATCAATTTGGGGCTAAAAAAGTCATAACAAAATGATATTGTTTGGTTTAATTTT